TAGTTTTTGGTAAAAATCCATGCATATAATACTTAATTTGAATGATAATTAGCTGATTTTTAGCTGTTCTATGACTGTTCCACTGATATCTAAATAAACACTCATTGGATTTTGATGAAACTTGGTACATAGATGCTCTGAACTAATGCTAGGTTTTGATTAGTTTTTGGTAAAAATTACCTAATTACTAATTACCTAATTTGCATAATGATTAATGAATTTTCGGTTTTTCCACTGATCAAGTTCTAATCATCACATTTCAATGAAACTTTGTACATAGATGTCATAGGACACTGCACAGACCTGATAGTTTTTAGGGTAATATCAGTGCATATTAATTACCTAATTTGCATAATTAATTAATTTTCAGCGTTTGATGTTTCAAGGAGTAAGCGTTACATTTCAATGAAACTTGGTACATAAATACTCAAGGACTATGCAGAGATTAATTTTTTGGGGATAAATTTGTACATATTAATCACCTCATTTGCATAATTAGTTAATTTTCAGCTTTTTCGAAGATATCTCAAGTACTAATCATCACGTTTCAATGAAACTTGGTACATAGATCTTTTAGGACTATCCAAAGACCTGATTAGTTTTAGGGTAAATAATTGGGCATATTAATTACCTAATTTGCATAATTAATTAAATTTCAGCTTTCACACTGATTTCTCAAGTACTAATCATCACATTTCAACGAAACTTTGTACATGGATGCTGTAGGACAATAGACTGAATAATTGTGGGTTAAAATCTGTACAGATTAATTACTAATTTGCATAATTAACTACTTTTAAGCTATTACACTGATATCTAAAGTACTATTATTTCATTTCAATGAAACTTGGTGCAAAGATGCTCTCGGACAATGTACAAACCGGATTAGTTTGGGGTTAAAATCCGTTTATTTTAATTCCCTAATTAGCATAATAATTCATAATTTTTTTTGGTTCCAATCACATTTCAATAAAATTTGGTATATAGATGGTATATTACATTGCGCAGACCTCATTAGTTTTACACTCAAATCTGTTCGTATTAATTTTCTGATTTGCATTATTAGTTTTCAGCTTTTCCATCACTATCTCAATCAAGTACAAGTAATTTTGAATTATATTTAATGTGTCTTCATACTCTCAGCACATGGGAGTTCTTTCTAAGCTTTCTTTGATTTCAAAATATTCTTATTTTGTTCAATCATTTCAGACAAAGAGCCAAAGTGTTTTTTGTTTAATTTACTGTTTTACACCCAAAATATGGCAAATAATTAGAAATATCCCATGATGCTAGTTGCCATTTGGACAAAATATCCAAAGCTTATTTTGAGACGACTGAATTTCCAGGTGTCACTTTGAATAAAACATGATGAGGTGCTATTTAAAATAATACTATATTTTTAACATGGTAAATACTTTACCAACCTTTAATTATATTGTTAGAGTTGTCAGCATTGAATAGCTAGTTACTGTAAAATACTTTATTTTTGCATAAGGGCTAACCTGTGAAAATAAAATCCAGCGAATATACCTTCTGTCCTATATTTTACACTCAACTCATCAAAAATCAGTGAAAATAAACTCAATACAAAACACCCAAAAATATCCTTTCAGGGAAAATTAAAGCTAAAATGAAATATTGCTTTTTTTTAAAATTCATAGCCACCAAGTCAGTTTCAACAACAGCCTCAAACACAACCGCTACAACACCATCCACCAGGCCCAATGCCGGGTCAAGGGTCAGTGGCCCTGACTCAAGGTCCAATGGGATATCAGCCACCACCACAAGGGGACTGTGGGATGCAACCTCAGCAACACCCTCAACCTCAGCAACACCCTCAACCTCAGCAACACCCTCAACCTCAGCAACACCCTCAACCACAGCACCCACAGCAGCAGCAGCATCCGCATCACCAACAACCACAGCATCATGTGCAGCAGCAAACTCAGTTTCAACAACAGTTCCAGCAGCATATACAACAGCAGCAACAACTCCAGCAACAGCAACAACTCCAGCAACAGCGACAATCTCCACAACAACAGCAGCGACAATCTCCTCAACAACAACAAGCAGACTCTAAATCATCAGAACCCCTGTCACAGCAACATGATGAAAACCAGCAGGCTCAACAAGCACCACAGGTTGAAAAAGTTTTAGATCAAGAACAACCAAGAACTCCACAGACACCACAGACTCCTCAACATCAACCAACACCCCCTCCCCCTGCACAACAGCCACCGCAGCAAATGCAACAGCAGTCATTAAACATGCAGCAATCTTCACATATGCAGCAACAACAAATCCCAACACAGCAACAACTTGGACTTCAACAACAGCCGCAATACCAACAACAACAACCACCACAGCAGCAGCCAGGACAGCATTTTCCTCCCCAACAAACGCAGCATTATCCATCTGGAACAAATTCTACTGCAGTCAGTCAGATACCTGGTAAGTGTTAAATTGTAATTTTTAGTTAACCAGTTCCTTTAAAGTTGTACTTTTAGGTCACTCATTTAGCTTGAATGAGGTTTAAGGGACTACCGGTACCGTAAAAACCCTAAAATAAGAGCCACTTTGTAACACTTTCATTTCTGGGTGGTGCTTATTTTAGGTAACATTTTGACAACTTTGTAGCCAGTGGCTCTTAAACCAGGGTGATCAAACCTTTTCATTGTGAAATAGGGAAGGGGATAGGCAAACACACACACAACCAGAACAGACAAGTAATTATTAATGATGTATCATTGGAATTAATTTATTCTGTAAAAATACTGTTATGGGAATAACAAATGTCAAATAAACTGGGAATAACTTGCGTGATGATATAAAATAGTTTCCGATAGAATTGATCTGACCAGCAGCGACAGGAGAAGACATACTTGCAAAGCAAGCATGGAACGAATTAAAAAAAATGATGCCCAATCACTTGTATTTATGGCAAAAACAATAAAGAAAAACATGTTTTCTATAGATTTTTACAGCTTGGGTACTCTTGCATTATAATTGCGCTAGACGTCTGACAGTACAGCTTTGGTTTATATATTTCCTGTTTCATATTCAAGCCAGCTTATAATTATATGTTAATGATATTCACAGTCCACACAAACAGGGTCAAACTATAGCCCCACCCCTATATAACCAAATACGAAATGATACCGAAAAAGTAACAATTACATGTATTAAAAATAATTTCATGTGACTAATCGAAGAGACGAAATCATTTACGAAAGCACTGGCCTGTTACAAGGCATTTTCTGATTGGTACAAGTCCAGATTATTTTCAATTCTCACAAATAGCTAGTGTAAATATTTTGGTCAGGCGGCTCACGTCGACTTCGCTTTGCTGTAAGACGAGTTGATCGCGCAAGTTTGTGGAACTAATCCATTTGACTTCAATTTTGATTATTTTCGGCAAGAGAGTTCTCTCCAAACTAATGCCAGTTATTTTGTCACTTCGCTGAACATTTTGTCTTGAATCACCCCAAAACTAACGTCTCAAACGAAATGCAAAAAATAACCCAAAATCACGATCAGCGAGAGTGGGCTGCGTAATCATTACATTCTCACAGTCAGAGCTACGTCACGATCCCTCGAACGTTGCCAGGACCGGATTAACACCTCTCCCCCCCCCCCATACCTAAGATTTTTCGATAAAGATGTTCTAAAATCGTGACGTACTTTACTTGGTTATAAAGACATCATTGGCAATGAATATCTCAACGTGTCCTTCAGTGTTTCGGCAAAAAACATAGTTACTACTAAATAGTTCAAATATATAAATGTACCAAAATGAGCTAAGTACGGGTGAAAAATACGGGTCGTACTTTTCAGAAAATAGCGATAACGGGTGATATTTGTAGCGAGTACGGGTGGTATTTGCAGTGAGTACGGGTGGCATTTGTAGTGAGTACATGGAGGTAATTTAGCGAGTATGAATTATAAAATGTAGCGAGTACGGGGGGGTGTGTAAAATATAGCGAGTACGGGTGGGGGTATTGTGGGTAAAATATAGCGAGTATGGGGTGAGGGTATTGTGGGTAAAATATAGCGAGTACGGGTGGGGTATTGTGGGTAAAATGTAGCGAGTACGGAGTGAGGGTATTGCGGGGTAAAATGTACGAGATTTATACAACAATTATGGGTGCAGCAAAACACTCCATTGATAAAGAAAATATCAGAGGTACGAACTGAAACTAGGAAACTAGTTCAATCTACCGAACCAAAACTAGTTCCATCTTACAAAAAATAAATGTGGACGTGAAGCAGCCATGTTTAATTAATTATATATTCACGCAGTTTGACCCCTATGACGTAGTAAAATGGACGCCTCGTAAACAAAAGTGCCCCGTAACTGAACGGACAAGTGTAATCTTGGAGCATGGCCATAAAAACTATTATGTCCATGCTTGAAGCTACAATAATAAATACATAGATTCATTCTTGTTGGTTTGACGAGAGTGGCGCAACAGTGTTCGTAATAACACTTTTGTCTAAATATAACATTGTTTCACTCTAGGGTATATTTTTGTTGAGTAAGGTAGTTGAATCTATGGCACGATTAACACCTGGGCATCGAGACTGGGACAAAGGGGTAATTTTAAAACAAGGGAATTACGTTACCGTGTCCACATTCTAATTATTCATGGCGCATGAAGAACTTGTTCTTTCAGGTCAACAGTTTATATTTTGATATTTTTTTTCCTAAACGAGCCTAAACAAAGGAGTGTGTATTTTGTGGACAGTCTATTGTGCACGAATTTTAATTATCTACAGCTCCTGAAAGCTAGGAATAAGCTAGTCACATGTATGTTCCAAATCATATTCTGCACAATAATTCCCAGAAAAAAAATCGCGCGTGCAGGAATATGTTCAATTTGGCTTGATTTTGGATGTCTGAAAAACGGTGTGTTTAAAAGGGATCTATGTGTCACATAGCGCTTTCACCATGTAAACAATTACGGTCTTCAACTTGATAACACCTCAACGCCGAGGTGTTAATCATGCCATAGATTCAACAAAAATGTACACTACAGTGAAACAATGTTATATATAGACAAACATGTTATTACGAACACTGCTGCGTCACTTACGTCAGGCCAGGGGGAATGAGTCTATTTATTATTGTAGCTCCAAGGTTACACTTGTCTGGTCAGTTATGGGGCATTTTTGTTTACGAAGCTACGTCTTAGGGGTCAAACTGCGTGAATATATAATTAATTATACGTGGCTGCTTCACTTTATTTTATTTTATCACTCGTACTCGCTAGATTACCTCCATGTACTCGCTACAAATACCACCCGTACTCACTGCAAATACCACCCGTACTCGCTATAAATATCACCTGTACTCGCTACAAATATCAACCGTACTCGCTACAAATATCACCCGTACTCGCTATTTTCTAAAAAGTACGACCCGTACTTGGCTCATTTTGGTACATTTATATACCTCAATAGTTTGTGCATTGGTCGATTGTGTGTCAGAAATTTAAAATAGACAAGTTGACAGTCACATTCACGCTCTCAGTGCATTTCTTTTGTCTGTCATTCTTCCGTTCTCAATTACACTGGACATCAGGCAAGCTATGGGGATAATCTTTATTTGTCTTGCACCTTCTGTGGGGCAATAAACAATGCAGGGTGGAAGTGAGGCATGACAAGCTTGTGTCTGCCTGATTGTAAACAACCGGGCGGCTGGTGCTTATTTCTGGGTTCTTATTGACAAAACCTCTCAACTCTTGGTGGCTCTTAATGGAGGGTCAAATGTAACAAATTTTTACTGAGTGGCTCTTAATTGAGAGTGGCGCTTATTTGTGGGTTTTTACGGTAATTATTAGTCCCCATTCGGACGAAGTCCGAAAACGGGGACTTATGTTTTGAGCTCTGTGTGTCCGTGCGTGCGTCTGTGTGTGTGTGAGTGCGTCTGTGCGTGCGTGCGTCCGGACCTGTATCTTAGAAATGCCTGGATCAATAACAATCAAACTTCACACATACATCATACATGATATCATACATATGCAGTGTTCTCCCCAGAAATTTTCCATAGAGTCGCGGCTAATTTGCATAATAATTAGCATATTAGCATAAATTAACATATTATTTGTCATATGGGGAAATAAAACAAAACCAGTTTTTTTCCTTTTTTTCTATTTATTTTATGTACAATCTGTATACAATTATTGCACTGTATGTTTAGTATTGCAAATGTCCTGCAGAAATACTGAGTTTTCTGTTTCTTTGCTTGGCCCAGCAATCAGCAACTTTATAAAACCCTGTTCAGTCCTGGTAAATTAAACATGGGATTGATTATTCTCATTGCTTGTCTTCCGTTTCTGTTGTTTTCCGGTTAAGTACAACAACTGTTACGAGTCACGATACTTACGCTACTATGTTTGAGCAATAATAGTTTTTCTGGCTGAAATTATCCATCTTTATGTATTTTTTTTAATCATCGATGTTGTCTGTTCAACACAATTGTGAACAATTCGAGACAACGGAGGTCTGAATTATGAATTGTCGCCATTGTTATACCACGTAAAATTGAGGCATTTCTTCCAAGAAATAACACAAGTGTCACTCCAATTTCCACACGTTTCTTGATTAGAATTCCCGATTTCTTGATAAATATATTATTTTCAATTATGCTTCACTTAATTCATTCAAATCTGAGCACGATATGCGATCCGAGTGGGAAGTTCACGCTCGCTGGATCTTACGTGGGTGACGCCATCTTGGATTCACAATCACGAGGTCAAAA